AAGTTTGTTTTATAGCAAAAGCAGATAACTCCAACAGTCGTTTTTTGGCAAAAGCAGATAACTCCACATTTCATGTGTTAAGAGTAAAAAAAAAACACTTCTTTGTAATCTCCTCAGATGACATTGTAGATGCCTGACAAACTTGTTGTTGTGATCATAAACTGTATGGATGTGGGTCGAGGCAATCAAGAGTGCAAGAAAATATGTTTAAATACCTGAAAAACACAGGAACAATAGATAGAATCTAGTTTTTTTTTCTTTTCTTTTTTTTTTTCTATAGGTATCCACCTTATTTTTCAATGCGGAAGTAAGCTGATTTTTTGTGAATTAATTAATAAACAATAATTTATTCCCTTTTTCTTTTATTCAGTGACGAGTAGGCTATGTACATGCGTTTCTTTATCTTCCACATGTTTTTAATCATCTTCAGTAAAATGCAAGATCGTGAGATAAAAATATCGTCCTCCATCAAGTGTCAGGGGACGGCAGGGCTCATTTCATCCGGTGCGCAGGAGGGGGAGGGCCGCTGGCGTCTGGGCGGCGGATTCATCATCTGAATGAAGCATCGGGAGTTTTGGGGTCAGATCCTGCAGATAACCAGGTTCCTGTCTGTCTCTGTCATAGCATATAAAATCATGGGGAACACGTTGCCTGTTAGACTCTAGGAGAGGTGCTCTGGAAGAGATGACTGCAAGCATGATGATGCTTAGGCTGTGTGGACTCCTTCTTATATGCTCCACTGTAATAGGTAAGCAGGGCTTTACTTTCCTAATATTTGACTGTAATTGAATTTCTCTGTTAGGCTACTTGTTGACTTATTACTTTTATATGTTGTGGTGTCCAAAAGTGTGAGACCAAATTGGAATATAGTCGAGCCTATGGTTTATTATCAAAATACAATTTTCAGTAAAGTAGCCTAAATTTTTAATTTAAAGTTTTCACTCATATTGCTTTGCTGACAATGTCATTTGTATCGACATTTTTATGTTAGTTTATATCAGAAAAATATTCACATTTTCAGAAATTTGTATATAGCCACCACATACAGTATATACAATGTTATTTATTATTTGATATTTGGAAATATGGGATTTATTATACAATTTAAATTTTAAACAAAGCAAATTTTATTATTACAATTTAATATAAAGTTTTCACTCTTATTTCTGTGCTGACAATATCATTTGTGATGAAAATTTGGTATTACATCCTAAATGAGCATTTTCAGACATTTTCATGTAAATAGTCAAATATATGCACAATATTATAGGGTTTTATTATTTGTTAATCTATAATTTTTTATCTCAAATGTTCATATACATTTTATTAAAATAAATTTAATCTGTATATAATTCTAATTTATCCTATTTGTTGTTGTTATCTGCTTTTTATTTTTCTCTTTTTATTACTAAATTTATTGATTGATTTGTTTAGTTACCTATTTTTAACTAATGCTTTTTTCTCTTGCTTTGAAAATTGACATGGCATAAACCAGAGGATGACTCAATCTACATTTGACACATAATTATTTCAACAATTACGGATCAAAATGCATATATATATATTATGAAGGAGAATGTTTCCCTTTCAAAAGAAAACCGTGTTGCTCTGTTCTTTGTAGCTGGATGTCTTTGATCGCTTATACAGGAAGAAATATTGCTTTGCAAGGGAAGCCAGTCATTTCCAATGTCTATTTACTCTTTTCCTCGTCTGTAAGCCAATATTAGTAGCAGAGCTATTTGTGGTAGTGATGCAATAAAATAACCCTTTGGCGTAAAAAAAAAAAATCAGAATTAAAGCTGCACTTGATTAAACCACTAATAAATTTTAAAAAATAAATAAAAGGTTCCTTATTAAAATAAGGTTTCATGAAGAACCTTTAATATCTATGGAACCTCTGCATTGCAGAAAAGGTTCTTTATAGATTTTAAAGTCTTGTTTTAAAATGTTCTTTACGCAACCGAAATAAATCACCCGAAATGTTCTTTGGGGAAACCAGAATTTTTGGAACCCTTTGGAAATTTTTATTTTTAAGAGTATAGAGCTCATTTGTAAATAATTTGTGGTTATGTGTTTTCTTTCATGTTAGATGCTAAATTAGACATCATCAGTAGTGACCCAGATGTGCGGGTAGGAAGCGACACTCTGCTCTTGTGCAAAGGTTGGTGTGTTTAGTACTAAGAATTGACTAATTGACACAAATAATGACCCCAAATTATATCTGTACTTAATGTTGTTGCATTAGCTGCAAAATATTAGACTAAGTGGAAATAAATGATGCTATTTTGGGAACAAATCAGAGCTCAGTGTGACTTTTTCTGACTGTATGAGTTCTCCTCAAGTGTCAGCAATACATTTTGCTTTTTTTAAAGTATTTTGAAGTATCTGTCATTTGAAACCTAACAAACATGTTTTTGTGAAGTAGTTTGTTTGAAAAGCTGGCTTGTGCTTCTTTAAAATAATTTATTGTCCAAATACTTTTGGAGGCCTTTGAATATCATACAACAGTCTGTACCAGTCGAAACATTTTTAATATCGCTGGTGTAATGTTACTGTCATAAAATAACCAAGAAGGTGTTGTTTTTGGTGTTAATCTGTGAAATATTCAAATATTACATATGAAATAAATATAAAGTATTACAATAAATATGAAATATTACAATATAAATTGTAATATTATCTGTATATTGTCATCATTACAGGCACAAGTTATTGCTGCCTACCACATTTGTTGTGTCTGCTTAACTGAATAAATAACAACCATAACTTGTATTATATTATAGCTAATTAATGCCATATGGACATTCATACACTCATCACTGGTGGATAACAGAATACTTCCTAAAAGTAACATTGAAATAAGTTGTTTTTGGAAAGACGTTTTGAAACTTATGTATTGTGAAATGTGACACAAATACATTCTTTTCTTTTCTATGTTCTGTTGCGTGGTTCAGCTGATTCAGAGGGAGAAATTAGTTGGTTGAAAGGTGGTGAAGACGTTGATGAAGATCGCTATGTAGTCGAGAAAATTGATGAATCCTCGAGTAAACTGATCTTGAAGAACTTTGAATTAGATGACGCTGGAATCTATACCTGCGTGTTTGAAAATGATCACGGCACAAAGAAGATGAACTACCAGATCTATGTCTACCGTAGGTTCCCTTCTTCTGGTTCTTGTTCCTAAAGACTCATAATGTTCCTGAGCACATTTACTTGTGGATTCACAAAATTTGTGAATGATTCTCATGTGAAATTTTGTCCAACAATCAGAAACACCGGACTTTGGCAACACACCGGCATACCATGAATTTCTGGTGAACCAGACAGCGACCATTCCTTGCGTGGTGTCTGGGAAGCCTGTGGTGGAGATCCACTGGTTTCGGAACGATCGCATCGTGAATGATGACGGTAGGGGGGATGGCCATGCTGCAGGTTCTTCTGCTCTTTTATGTGGTATGGGTGTCTCCTCACCTTCCTAGCTATCAGTGATGCCTGTAGATGGCAGAATGGCAGGATGGCGATGGTGGACGATCCAGCGATGGGGTGGGAGGGGCCTGTGAATTCATTTTCTGACCGATTTGCAAACAAATCGAGAGATGTTTCTTGCTAGAAGTTGGGAAACATCTGTGAACAGTTTGGTTTAGTGTTTTTTCTTCCTGTCTGATGGTGAGGCCAAAAGAAACAGCTCCAAAACATCAAGCCCTGCCCCATTTCAAGTAAACGCCACCACTGACAACCTTAATAGGACAGTTCACCCCAAAATGAAAAGTCTATTATTATTTACTCACATTTCTCCTTTTGTGTTCCACAGGGTTTGGAATTATATGAGGGCTCTTTGGAAAAACGTGTGGCAACATTTCTACGTAGTGATATTATGTTGGTCCTTACATGTCTCACAGCACTTTCGGTGTGAAATGTCCAGTGATTGTCGCTAAATTCCAGCCCGAAACAGATGAGCGTGAATCTGGCAGCGATTTATTACATTCAGTGTTTACATATCGCAAACACTTTGAAACGTCTAATGAGTGGCTAATGAGTCTAATGAGACGCGTTCGCTAACATGTTTCATTCTGTTCCTTTTTGCAAATTTCTCAACACTTTCGAACACTTTCAACACTTCTTTTATCCAAAACAGGTCGAGTTCAAAAAATTGAATGCCTGGTGAATGGCACTAAAAGATTAATGCTCTATAAAAAAAACACTACTACCTACAATTAGCTATTAACAAAAGCAAACGTGAGTTTAAAACACGCTTTTTTATGCCATTTTAACTTGCGTCTTTGAGCTCTTTTATAGAGTGTTGAGTTGTACTTAACGGGACTTGTAACTGAGCACTCCACATCGCAAGTTCAGTGCTGTACCAGGTGAGCTACTGAGCAAGTTTACAATGTCAGACAAGCCAGATATATGGAGATGCAAATGTACTGTGCAAGGACTCATAATAAACTGGAATCATAATTTCTGTGAGAAGTAATAAAAGCTGTTGGAGTTTTTCAAGAGACATGTTTTTCCCAGTGAGCCTCTTTTGCTAAATAACGATACAGTTTTTGGTTTTGGGGTGAACTGGACTTTTAAGAGTGTGCGTGTGGGCTTTTAAAGGCTTCGTCTCATGAATCTAAAGTAATACTATTGTATCTTTGACATTCCTCATGCTCTACCTTCCCTCTTCTCTTTGTACAGGACGAGGTCATCTCAGAATCCTGCCAGATAAGTCTCTGCATATTCTGAGAATTCAGCAGGAAGACGGTGGAACCTACACTTGTGAAGGCAGGATCAAGGGACGCCCCATAATAAGGGAGCTCCAGATCTCTGTTGTTGTTAATGGTGAGGACATAGAGGAATTAATCATTTTTGTTCTTAATGTGGTCAGGCTGGATATATCCTCTTAATATCTGCTTTACACATCCCATTCTCCAGAGCCACCGACCGTCCTGATTCACCAGGAAAGAAAAAGTGTTTTTGCCGGACCCAACAGCACTGTGTCTATAGCCTGCCTGGTCAATGGAGTACCCCGTCCAAATATTTCATGGATACTGTATGTATATCAGTAGAAAATGCTATAATATTTCCTTCATGCTTACCTATAATCCTTAGTCTCAGTCTATTTATATTTGTGAATCTGCTTTTGAAGTCAAAAGTTCTAGTTCTTACATGTTACATGCAAATAATTCATCCTGACTACTTCTATCGCTCCATTTTAAAACCTAGTGAGCTACCTACATAGGCAGCATAATAGGTATAAACCGACAAGCTGCTGCCTTTTTAGAGACCTTCTTTAGGCTGATTTCTAAAGCAAGGCAAGTTTATGTATATAGCACATTTCATACACAATGGCAGTTCAAAATGCTTTACATAAAAGTGATGCATAAGAAATAAAAATAACCATAAATAAATAAGAAATGAAAATGGGAAAACTTGATTTAAAATGTATTTAAAACAAATTATAAATGGATTATAAATACTGAAAAAATTGTTCAATCAAGTAATAAAATGACTGTTTTTGTGCTTTTGGTATTTTTGTGCTTATGGTGTTATTTTAGAAGCATTCAAAATCAGTTGTAGACAGCAAGGCAGCTCAGTAATGTTTGGAACAGAGCCTATACGGCATGTGTTTACACATATTCTTTAGTCTTAGAGTCCATCTTGTCGTTTTGTATATTTGGAGTTTCCTTTTGTCTCTTAGTTGTTAGTTTTACTCCCATGAGTATATTTGTGTTGTCTTAATGAACAATAGTGGCAAACAGACTGTGTTTCTGCATCTTTCCCCTCAGCCCTTCCACCTCTGACGAGTCCCGTCACAAATACAACTCTGATAAGAGTGAGCTCACCATCTCTGCAGTGACCAGGAGTGATTTTGGAGATTATGTCTGCACGGCTACCAATAAGATCGGGGAAAACACCGCCACATTTATTCTGGATGTCTCGGGTAAAACGAGACTCTCTTAGAAAACCTAAAATGAAGTGATGTGTTTATACTTTCTGAAAGTGCAGAGGCATTGAATGTGGAAGTTGGTCTGCATTCATTTGTTTTTAGTCAATATACAGTTACAAACTTTAACATTATATCAAAATTGACCCCATTTACCTTCTTAATTAATATTTACTATCCTAATGAAAGTCTTTATGGACAGTAAGTTTTGGCAGACGGCCCATACTGGTTGTAAAATTTTGCATAATGGATTCTTTGGCTGTGAACACCCATTTTTCATGATCCTATCAATCAGTTCCTGAAGAATAAAATCAAGACAAGCAAGCATTTTCTTTCTGAATAACATGTTTTACTTCTTAAGTCAAATGGGTTGTGAAACGTGTGTCATGCTGACTGTAAACTGCAGTGAATTTGTGTTTACGGCTCAACTGTTTGTTTTTTCCCCTTCTTGGCAATTTTGTTTAGCCAAGGATTTATTCCAAGAAAACATTTTACTACAGTCACAAACACAGATATGGGGAATTTGGTGCCATGCAAGCATCAAATTGACACTCTCCAATAGGCCAGATGGCCCAGACCCAAACAAAACCCATTTTGACCATTTTGTAAGATATAAAAATAGATATTTAATGAATATATTTCCATAGTAGTTATATATTTATGGTTCATTGTATATATTTGATATTTATCATTTAACTATTGAAGATAGGTAGGTTTTTTTTATTGGAATCGACATAAGAAATTGTCTTTCTTCACGCCTAAAATGTTCTAAAATAATTGGCATTTCAGTCATGCATATACATAATTTAATTTAATTAAATTTTTGTCTTATTGATCATTATTCAGAGCGTCCAACTGTAGTTTTGGATCAACCCAAGCTGGTGGTTATTCCAGGAGAAACTGGATCTGTGATCTGCAATGCCACAGGACATCCAACACCAACCATACAGTGGGTCAAGAAGACTAACAAAGAAAAAATGGTGAGAAACATATACATTTTTGTTAGCAATTTCAAAACGTTTTGGAAATATGTTTAAGATAATAAAATCTTGCATGGGTTAAGGGAAATATCATTGTAATTGATGGTGGTGGTGACTAGGAGGGATTCTATATCTACAGGAAGTTTGACCTATGTACTCTTCTCTTCAGTCTTAATTACTTTTTCCTGTCTCTTATTGTCTTTCCTTTTTGCACGAACATGTGTGGGCAGACGAATGTGGAGGATTCTGAGCTGATTCTTGAAAATGTAATACCCTCTGATGGCGGCTTGTACTCCTGCATAGCCAGCAATACGGCAGGAACAACCACTGAGGACTTCCAGCTGATAAGTAAGGCTCTTGTAGTGGCTTCAGTAGTAGTTAACTAACTTTGATTTGTTGATGTCTTTCATTTCTGCATAAACTTTCAATATTGCTTCACATTAAAAATTCTGTTCCTCTCTCTCAAAAGCCTGGCCTGGGACACCCGCTAAGTTCAGTGTGGCTCCGGGGCCCTCATCTTCTGTCCTCATCCAGAGTGCCTCAGTGCAAGATGGAGGGTCCTCCATTACCCAGTACATCCTTCAGTGGAAGAAACCGTCTGAAGACACCTGGAGTCAAAGCATTGTCAAGCCCACAAGTAAATAAGTCACTCAGAAAAGTGTAGTTTGTTTTGATGGTTTTGTAAATTCAAATGTGTGATGAAAACGCTTACATTTGTAGATCCCCTGGTGATCACGGGCCTTGAGCCGTACACAGAGTACTTCATTCGTTTTGCAGCCAAAAATTCTCATTTCCAGGGGACCTTCTCCACAGAACACAAGATCTTCACACAGTCCCAACGTGAGTATCAGCAAAGTTCTCTTCTGTCTATTCACTTCATCTGCTCCATATCCACCATTTTTGATGTTGATAGCTATTATTAATATTGTTATAACTTTTTATGCCATTGGCAGGCCACATGGAATCTGCACCCAATTTAGCATGCAGCTTTCTTGATTTTTAGCTTAAATAAATTGAGAGGCTACATACATTATTTGTACTTTCTAAAAAATAAAAATTACCATTTGGACCATTAGGACCATACAATATCTGTATCTGTATCTACATATGTATCTGTCTGCCGATTCAGTTTTGGCATGGCCATTGGTTATTTGGCCCAACTATTATTTTTAGTGCTGTCAAACGATTAATCGAGATTAATCACAATTAATCGCATCCAAAATAAAAGTTCTTGTTTACATAATATGTGTATACTGTGTATATAATAAATATACATAGTACACAGTATGTAAACAAATTTTTTTATTTTGGATGCGATTAATCGCGATTAATCATTTGACATTTATGACATGAATTATTTGACATTATTTTTCAATAATGAAATACATTTTATTAAGACAATTTTATTACAGTTGATACCATGTTATGCATCAATACCTGTTTGCTCATCACATATGTTCATGATTTGCTTCTGCTGCCCATTCTTCCTCTAATTGCCACCTGCTTGATGATGACCATTCTCCATGCATTACGACCTGCTCCTGGTCCCGGGGCCCATCCATTGCCTTATTCTGACCTTCCTTTGTAGATGGTAAATCAACATTTTAAATGCATACATCTCCAGTTGATAGGCTAAAACACAAGCCTAATTGTTTACTGTGATATAGATGTGTGAAAATGAGTTTACCTGCATGTTTTCAATGCTGGAGAAAGCGAGAACAGAGAAAATTGCTACTTCAGGTTTCCTTCAGCATGAAATCAATGTTGGTCTGCCGCTCTCGCACATCTATACTATAGTGAATAATTTTGGAGCTTATCCACTGGATTGTCAATTACTTAAAGGGTTAGTTCACCCAAAAATGAAAATTAGCCCATAAATTACTCACCCTCAAGTCATCCTAGGTGTATATGACTTTCTTCTTTCAGACGAATCCAGTCGGAGTTATATTAAAAATGGTCTTTGATCTTTCAAGCTGTTTAATGCCACTCAGCGGGTGTTGCATGCATCCGTCCAAAAGCAGTTAAATAAAATGCGCCCATCCATAAAAAAAAGTGTCTCACACGGCTCCGAGGGGTGAATAAAGACCTAATTTATGGGCTAATTTTCATTTTTGGGTGAGCTAACCCTTTAAGTATGATGCTGACAATTTAACTTTAATATAATACAGAGGCCAACAGTGAAACATCAAATATAGCATTCTTGGATTAATTAGGGTTGGGTGATAAAAATTTACAATCATTTTAATGTGCTTTTTATTTGGCCAATGACTAGTTTTGTAAGAAATCACACACTTTTCACTTTCACACATCTCTTCCTTGTGTTCATTTAATAAATTAGTATAGAAAACATGCATTTTAACTGTATCTTTACTGTATTTTAGTTTTTGCGTTAAACATTTAGAAATTAGCTGTTTAAGAGCAAATTAAATATCAATATTTAGACTACCATTCAAAATGTTGTGGTCAGTAGGATTGTGTGTGTGTGTGTGTGTGTGTGTGTGTGTGTGTGTGTGCTGAATCCTTTTGAAAAAGAAATCCAGAAAAAAATGGTATTACAGTTTCCACAAAGATATTAAGCAGCTCAACTGTTTTCAACATTGAATCAGCAAATTCAAATGATTTCTGAAGGATCATGTGACACTGAAGACTGGAGTAATAATGTTGAAAATTCAGCTTTGGCATCACAAGTAAAAACATTAATATATGTTAAAATATATTCAAATAGAAAACGGTTACTTTAAATTTTTATAATATTTCACTGTTTTTATTGTAGGCCTATTTTTGATCAAATGCAGCCTTGGTGAGCATTAGAGACTTATTTAAAATAATAAAAATGAAAATTGTACCAACCCCAAACTTTTGAATGATAGTGTACAACAAATATCATCAAAATAAAATAAATAAATAAATATAAAATAAAATAAAATAATACATTTATTAATACCAATATCACCCAGCCCAAAGATCAACCTGTTACGCTGTTTCTTTGTTCCTTGTATCTAATGTTTCCTCTTTCCCTCGTGTAGGAGAACCTGACAGCCCCATTCTGTCTCTGAGCGAGAAAAAGCTGGACAAGAACTCAGTCTACATCCCCATTAAACAGCTAAGAGATGGAGGCTTTCCCATCCTACACTACGTTGTACGCTACAAAGGGGTCAGTCTGAAATCCAGCCGAAAACTAGTATATGTATTTTTCATGTTGTTTAAATATGTGGAGCACAAGCCATATATCTAAAGGTAAAATGTCACTCGTTTGGAATAGAACAAGGAGAATGAGGAATGGACTGAAAAAGAAATTCCTGGAAACTCCAGCAAAATCCAGCTGAACAATCTCGAGTACGATGCTAACTATCAAATGGAAGTTTATGCAGTAAACCACAATGGCTCCTCCAATGCTGCCAAAATTAACTTCACCGTCCCACAACCTGGTAGGATTGATTAGAGCAAGCATAATAATATCATGCATTATGTGCTTAAAGGGGTCCTATTATGCTCTTTTACAAAGTCTTGATTTTGTTTTGGGGGTGTACTAGAACAGGCTCTCATACTAGGTTGTTCGAAAAACACATTATCTTTCACATATTTTACATTATTACAACACCTCTCTCCCCAGTCTGGCACAAACGGCTCGAATAGTTCCTGTATCAAATGAAAGCCCGCCTTCTGAAATACGAACTGTGCTGTGATTGGTTAGCTGGGCAAGTGTGTGTTGTGAATGGTTAGCTCGGACTGTGTGTGTTGTGATTGGCAGCACTCGGCGCCTGGTCGGGAAATGTCACGCCCCTTACCATAGCCGCCTGCAAGCTTCAGTGTAAATATTGCGTCAAAATCAAATCAATTTGAGCACGATTTAAACCCGGATGATTGTAACCACTCTAAGTTCATCTGCCTTGGGAAGGCTAGCGTGTCTCCGACATAGTGATAACACTCGTTGCCTTCTCTAGTGCAGCTCAACCAGGTCTCGTCCCATTCGTCGATATTTGTGATATCACAAATCCCGGAAAATATGCGTTGTAGTCCAAACGAGTCGTTCGTTGTAGTTTTTGAAAAGTGATTTCTGTTCAATAAAATATCTCCTTTTGAAATGGACTTCGAGCTTTGACACTTTGCAGATCTTTTTTAATCAAACAGCAACATTACAGACTAACTAAAGTTGAAAAAGTGAAAAAGCATAATAGGACCCCTTTAACAAATAGTTCACCCTTTTAGTGATATGAATTGATTTCTCTTTCTCTTGCAGTCAGTCAGCCGGCGTTAGGGAAAGGAGGTGTGGTGGGAATTGTAATGTTCATCTTCTTGCTGCTGATGGTGTCAATAGATGCTTTCTGTTGCTACACCAACCACTGCGGCATGCTTAATTTCCTCGCTCGTAAACTATTTGGACACAAGGTGTCAGAGTCTAAAGGGATGGATGAAGAGGCCAATAATTCCACTGGGTAAGACAACTTCATCCTTAAGTGCACATGTTGTAGAGATAGACAAAAGGACTGTTCTTTTCTGTCCTAGATTTCCTACAAAGAGCCATTGTTTGCACATAATGTTAGTTTATGGTGATTGCCATGGGCGACATTGGGGGGGCGGGGCATATCGTTAGTCATGGAATCCCCGATATCAGTCCCGCTGCAGTTGGTGCAGTTATCCAAGCCCAGACCCGGTTGTACGGGAGTACTAGATGGCGCTAAATACCCTCAAACGAAAGCAAAAGCAATTAAAGATCTGGACGAACTATCCACTGTGTTTTTGCGGCATTGAACAATGTAGCCAATCACAGACATATCTGTTGATCTTCAACGCAGTGGCCAATCAGAAACGTTAGAGTTTTCAGAATTCACTCACCGTCATTCATCTCATAAGTGCAGACGTGATGTAGCCTAAATAAGAGATTAATTGTGTAGTTTAGAGAGCTTCATTGATTATAACGGAACTTTGTGAGATCGCAATGAACTAAGATGAGTGATGCTTTTAGTGATAAAAATGGGAGTGTGCTTTCTAGGCTATAATCCATTCCGAATTTGTATGAAACTTTAGTTTTTCGGACACATACATACTGCAGCGTTTCGGGAATTACATCAGCATATTTATGCTGGATTCATTCTAGAAATATCAGCGGCATGCTTAATTTCCTCGCTCGTAAACTATTTGGACACAAGGTGTCAGAGTCTAAAGGGATGGATGAAGAGGCCAATAATTCCACTGGGTAAGACAACTTCATCCTTAAGTGCACATGTTGTAGAGATAGACAAAAGGACTGTTCTTTTCTGTCCTAGATTTCCTACAAAGAGCCATTGTTTGCACATAATGTTAGTTTATGGTGATTGCCATGGGCGACATTGGGGGGGCGGGGCATATCGTTAGTCATGGAATCCCCGATATCAGTCCCGCTGCAGTTGGTGCAGTTATCCAAGCCCAGACCCGGTTGTACGGGAGTACTAGATGGCGCTAAATACCCTCAAACGAAAGCAAAAGCAATTAAAGATCTGGACGAACTATCCACTGTGTTTTTGCGGCATTGAACAATGTAGCCAATCACAGACATATCTGTTGATCTTCAACGCAGTGGCCAATCAGAAACGTTAGAGTTTTCAGAATTCACTCACCGTCATTCATCTCATAAGTGCAGACGTGATGTAGCCTAAATAAGAGATTAATTGTGTAGTTTAGAGAGCTTCATTGATTATAACGGAACTTTGTGAGATCGCAATGAACTAAGATGAGTGATGCTTTTAGTGATAAAAATGGGAGTGTGCTTTCTAGGCTATAATCCATTCCGAATTTGTATGAAACTTTAGTTTTTCGGACACATACATACTGCAGCGTTTCGGGAATTACATCAGCATATTTATGCTGGATTCATTCTAGAAATATCAGAGATTGACACAGTGATAACCAAAGCAATGGACGGGACAAAAATGCCTCAGTGATTTCTTCTGGAACTGGTCCTGGCCAAACTTCCACAGACAGTGCGCGTGAGCGAGATCCAGTTCACGGACTGAAAGCGTGTAAACTTTATTGAGATTGGGACATATCAACCATTTCATTTCCAGTAACGGACGGTAGAAAGGTCAGAAATTAATGGTATGCAATTTATGACAGACTAGTCCCACAACTGATTGTTTATTTTTTCCTCACATCTCACCTTTAGAAAGAACGATTCAAAACGGACACATTTCAAGTGACACGGGAAAAAGACAAAAAAACATGACACGTAAAACTTAAATAAACATCAGTAAAGCGTGCACATTTCTGGTTAAAAATGAAAGGCCACTTAAAACAGGAAGCATCACCATTCAAATCAGCAACGAGTCAAAGCTCCACAGTTTAGTAAACGCAGGCAACCTCTTGAAGTTATTCCTGACTGTGCTGTATTGACTGATTTGATGTGTGGTAGGGCAATGTTTTGATGCATACATCCGAAAAATATTTATTTTGCCACTTTTTTTTTTTTGCTTTTTTTTTCTTGCCCCCCTGACTCAAGAGTCAAATGTTGCCCATGGTGATGGCATATAGTTCTTTAAAGGAATAGTTCACCTCAAAATTTAACCCCTCCCTCAATTTCAAATGTTTTCACACAAGAAGTGGATGCAAAACATTCCAAAATAGACCAAAAGCACAATAAATGTATCATAAATGAAGTCTGAAAGACTTGTATGAGTCTTCTGAATTCATATGATAGCTTTGTGTGAGGAAAAGTCAAATTTTTGGGTGAACTATTCCTGTATGTAAAGTGCATACACATCAAGAAAGTGCAAAGATACGTTACTTTGGTATAGAAGTGTAAATAATTAAATAATGTAAAAAAATAAATAAATAATACATTTTATTGTATTCCTCACTGTCATGAACTGGTATATGACATCATAATGGCAAAAAAAAAATCAAAAGCTGATTACAATTGAAACGATAACACTTCACAATAAAGATTGTATAAAGTTCAAAATAAAAGTTGAGACATACTTAACAATCAAGAATAGAGGGTTTTTACCTAATTTTTTAAAACCATGTTTAATGTTAATTTCTACACTAAATTAGAAATTAACATTTTTACTAGCATAACAACCAAGATAAATTAATTATATAAATTAATAAAATAGATAGATAAAAATAATATTTTTAATCAATGCATTTTGAACTAACAAACCAAGTGTTAAATACTATAAAATAATATTTTAACAATTTTTTTAGAATACATATAGACAAAATGATTAATAATTCTCAAAAAGCTCATAAAGATGTTTCTTAACAATTAACCTTATGAACTCTTGATATTATGTCTAAGATGGTGCCAAAGATTTTTAAACTTAACATTTTCTATCTAAAAGACCAATTTTAGAGCTTTGCATTTAGATGCATTTGCTGTTTCCTGTGTGTGATTGCACCCCACTAAGCTTCAGTTCTCTTGTGTCCTTTGATACAGAGACGTGAAGCTGAACGGGCTAACACTATCACGAGGCAGCATCCCAAAGCTTCAGTCACCCAGTGGGGCAGTGAATGGCCTTCATTCAGAGGTCACGTGTGACAAAGCGCCTCTTACCAAATTCGAGTAGGTGCCTACCTCAAAGAAATGAATGCAGCTGGGCATCAAAGTTGTCATTCACAAAAAATGGCATGTGGGCTTTATGTTACGCAACCAGGTTTAAAGGAATAGTTCACCCAAAAATTACCAGTTTGTCATAATTTACTCCTCAAACTTTGCAAACTGCATATGGCATTCATGGGTATACTGCCTATGTATATAAATAATCACAGAATTTTCATTTTTGATGAACTATTGCTTTAAATCACAATTTAAATTGGTTTTCCTACTGCCATTTTTTAACTCATGTTTCACAATTTTTTTTTTTTTTTTCTATTATCCATTGCCCCAGAAAACAAACAATCCAGCTGCCTCATTAACACAGAAAGCAGCTTCACATTCATTGTAGAAATAATGATATATTCTCTCTTTTTTTTGTAGGAAGAAACCAGAATCTGGTGATCCAGCAGCAGAGGCCTAGAGGAAGATATTATACAGGACCCAATTTGAATTCACTGAGTGAAGGAACTTCACACAAATCTCGGATCATCTGATTATGAGCTTAAGGGTGAAGTGTATCATTTATTTTAAATACTATATGTAAGATATTTGTATCCCAAAATGTTTAAACTCTACAGCTCTGTGGTGCTATGAAACATGGTTCAACCAACAGCATGAGTTTTGGGGCGGGACCATCTGTTTGTCTGGCCAATGACAGATGGGGGAGTGTTTGAGAAACCTATTTGTAAGATATAAAACTTCATAAATGACATACTTTTTATTTAAGTGATGCCATCTGGAACAAACATACAAACATCATAAAGGACGACTGCTATTTGCAGGAAAACGTTCAAGTCCTGTGTGATTTAGATTATACTTATTAAATTGTGATTGTACTACATGGAAATGTAGGAGTATTATGTGTGTGATCCAGCACTGTAAATACTGTACATGACAAATGCTGCTTGAGCTGAATGTATGTTCAGTAATGAGCAGATAAAAGCAGGATGCAGCTAAGTAGAATATGATGTTAACGTGTTAAAGTGTAATATTACTGTCATAATGGGAGCATAATATCATAGCATAATAGCATCACTAGTGTTAATTTATTGCGTGTTTAACATATATTTGTAGCTTGTATAAATTGATTAAAGGAACAGTTGAAAGATTTGGAAATCAATAGAAGTCAATAGATTTGGAAAGACATGACTTTTCAGTTTAATGTGAACGATAATGGCTTTTGTAAAGATAAAAATAACTGTGTGTTAGATATAGATATTACTTTGCATTTTATTTGTTTCAGCATCATATATTGTTACATTAATGCACCATGTATGAATGTTTTGGTCAAGTGATATGTGGATGTAAATACAGATGCATGCAAAAAGATGTACATATAGATTTATTAATAGTTTTTGATCTTCACTGTACATTGCATAAATTATTTCTTTAATGCTTTTATACTCATAGAGTGACCCTATAGTAATTTTGTACTCAATGTAAATGTATTCACAACTATAGACATTTGATTATTTTGAAAAAAATGAGACAAATTCATACAACACATGCTTGCTAAAGCTCATTATTCACAGATTCATTCAGTCTTTGTAACTAAGAAGGCTGTAGATCACATCTTGACTGTTGCAACGTGGTCTACAAAACAAAAGAAATGTATATCAGACAGTCTTTTATTTCAAATAAAAATAGATTTTTTAAATAATACATTGTTTATAATATTCTTGATAATTAAAATATTATAAAGACATAATTATATATATATATATATATATATATATATATAGCAATTTGGTCTACAAAAGAAATGCCAATTTGATTCAGCTAAAAGGCAGCAACTGATTTATTTTATTTTTTACAGTAGCCTGTTATTGCTTATAGAAAATGGTGAAAAAAAATTGACGTTCCTTATGTTAACTAATACTTGATGTTGCAGCCAATTCAAGGGGTTTATAAATCAATTCCACAGCTTTTCTCCCTCAAATAATCATCATTATGACATTTTTTTTTATCATTACCTGTCTGAGGTTGAGGAAGGAAGCCTTAAGTCTACATATGTCACATATGTGGTAAGGTTTTCCTCAGACTCTGGTGATTTTCTCAGGTTCTCATAGATCTCCTAGACATAATTATATATATATATATATATATATATATATATAGCAATTTGGTCTACAAAAGAAATGCCAATTTGATTCAGCTAAAAGGCAGCAACTGATTTATTTTATTTTTTACAGTAGCCTGTTATTGCTTATAGAAAATGGTGAAAAAAAATTGACGTTCCTTATGTTAACTAATACTTGATGTTGCAGCCAATTCAAGGGGTTTATAAATCAATTCCACAGCTTTTCTCCCTCAAATAATCATCATTATGACATTTTTTTTTATCATTACCTGTCTGAGGTTGAGGAAGGAAGCCTTAAGTCTACATATGTCACATATGTGGTAAGGTTTTCCTCAGACTCTGGTGATTTTCTCAGGTTCTCATAGATCTCCTCTGTGACAGTGACTGCAGGTGTCTGATCAGAGATGACAAATCACAGTATTGATTTAGTGCGCAATTATAAGTACAGAATCTTCTTGCTCATTTAGAATGAGATGAACTGTTCATGTGTTTAATACCTGTTCTGCGGGCTGCTTCTTTGATGTAAACAGTTTCCTCCTGTAAAGATGTAAGCAGATAACGTTTAATTTCATCCTTGTTAAATTCAGTAAGCCATCTAACCTGACTAGATTCCGTTAAAAGGAATCATTCAGTATTATTATGTGTTAATAATTTAGAATGCTGAGAATACTACAATTATTATGTAGTAAGTGCAAGATTTGCGTAAACCGATTGCATGTTTGACTGGGCCATCGATAATGAAATCAGAACAACGCAATACTGAACGCAGTAGCTATACATGATGATGGTCATCGAAGGCTTGTGTAATGTGTAGTGTCATTTCCACACAGTACAAACTCATGCAATCAGTTCACGTTTAACACATATGAACTTTGTTCTCTCTGCATTTCAACAATATGTGCATCCACTCACCTTATAATGAGACCACACATTAACAGTACAGCCATCAGAAACAAAAACACAGCTGTTGCAGTCAGCAAGAAATTTCGATGACTAGGCACTATAGAAACAAACAAAAATTGAATACATTTGGGTAAACTTTGTTTAGAATTGCATAATTTACTTACTATGTCTTATGCAAGCTTTATGCAATATGCCTAGGTGATATTTTTCCAAAATGTGCAGTATAATGATGTTATTTCCATGTGTGATTCATGAACCGGTCACATTTAACATTGATGTTATAAAACATTATTTTTTTACTCAAACGCCACTCACATTATATTTTTCATACACTGCCGGGATCTGTAGGCTATATATAGGCTACTGCACAATATTTAGTAAGCAATAAGCTAGTATTCCATTTCGAACACAATTTCTTTCTTTGTGATTGAACTATTCCCTATTACCTTCGACTTTCAGTGGTGTGACTGTAGAGTTGTGAGAACCCATGTCATTTTTAGCAATGCAGAAGTACTGTCCGTCATCCTTCTGACTGGCAGATTTGATGGAGAATTCACGATCAGATCCTATATAAGAGACGTTTGCTTCTTTGATCATAAACCAACTGTAGTTTGTCACTGCAGGATTGGCATTGCTCTTACAGATCATAGTCAGTGAGTTTCCTTCTTGTATCTTTCCAGATGACAAAACGGCTATTTTGACATTCTTTGGACTATCTGTGGGGAGAAGCAACAGGATCTGTATTTGCAAGAGAACTATGAAACGTTGGCATGCAGTGGTGCAGATGTTGCATCAAAAACGTTGACTGTGGGTTAGTGGGATTTTTTGAAATCGTCCAGTTTCCTCATTTCAAGGCTTTACAGGCGCTTATTTAACATAGAGGTCTGTAGCAGTTTCAAATGCAGCATCTAATAGGCATACATATATGAAGCCCAGACATTACACTTTAAAATAAGTGCTTTATATTTTAATATATTTTTAAATGTGGCAGTAGCCATTACAACTCATACAGGTTTGGAACGACATGAGGGTGAGTACATGATGACAGAATTGTCATTTTTGGGTGAACTATCCCTTTAAGTGTCACATGATCCTTCAGAAATCATTCTAATATGCTGGTTTACTGCAACATTTCTTATTATTCTCAATATTAAAAACTGTTGTGCTGATTAATATTTTTGCGGAAACTGTGTTTATGATGCCTTAAATGGCACTTCACCAGGTTTTTGAACAAAGCCATGATGTGCTTTAAATGACAGACTAGCCAGAGATGTGAACGTACATCTTACGTCAAGCAATATTTCATCTGCTGAAGTTGTGCTGCTGTTCTTCAGACCGCAGGAGTAGTTGCCAAAATCATCGTGAGAGACAGAGGTGATTTGGAGCACACTGTCAGTGGCTTCTGGAATCAGACGTTGGTTTTTAAACCAGGCAAACGTCTCTTGTGTTGGGGTGCAGTTTTCTGTGCTGCATGTCAATGTCACAGAGTCTCCTTCATGGATGTGTTCATTCACCTTTTTTGTTTTTACTGTTACTCTAAAGGGTAAAACTGTTAAAGGTAATGTAGATTAATGAAATGTAACCAGAAACCTGTTTAAAAACTAAAAAGACTATCAGCATCCCATCCTTTATTGGCACTGATGGTTCCATGAAGAACCTTTAACAACCATGGAACCTTTCCATTGCTCAAAAGGTCCTTTATAGTGGAAAAATGTTATTCAGATTATTCAAATGTTTTGAACACTAAGGAAAAAAATGGTTCTTTTAAGAACTGTTTGCTGAAAGGTTCTTTGAGGAACCAAAAATGGTTATTGTACAATATCACTACAAAAAAAAATAAGTGTATATACTGGAGATAGTGATTTGCTGATATTTTATTTCTCATTGAACAAGTATAGCCTTTCATTTACCTGCTACACGGAGGCTTATGCCACCCGGTCCAGTGTATTTTCCACGAGAGGAATATGTTTCAAAGCGAAAGAAATACATTCCAGTGTCACTTTTGGAGACATTGTGTAACTGCAGTGAGCAGTTTTTGTCTCGGTTTGCATAAGCTGTTCTGTTTTTGTACAGCTGGTGAATCTTTGCTGCTTCTGAGTTATAGACAGATATTCCCACCTGTGATCCGTCTTGTTTCTGATGAGCTCCTGGTTTGAACCAATATGTTGTTTTAAGTATGCGATAATCTGAACAGTCAAACTTGCAGCTGAAATCCACAGATGATCTTTCAAATGCACATATGCTTCTAGGGTAGTATGAAACCGACCATGAAGCCACAGCAGCTAAACACACAAAAAATGTTTGTTAAGATTTCAATAAGTCATTATTACTCCTTGTTGTTTTTTGGAGTCTAGACTTAAAATGAAGATTCTTATAGACTATCAGTGACCAGATCTGACCAAAATGTACAGCAGCAAACTGTTTAGTGGCCACAAAATGGCTTAAAATGATTTATGAAGCTTCAAGATAAGCTAAATCAGCTACAAAATAGACATTGTTCTTATTTTATTTTTATTTATTTTTTTGGAACAACTATCATTTCTACGCTGGGAAACATGGTCATTTTAAAAGTGTGAAATCCAGACATGGAAAAGTCATGGAATTTTTTAGAATGAAATAGATTTATGTAATTATACCAAGCTCTTAAACATTTTATTGAGCAGCCATTACAGCAGAAATAGCTTTGCCTTATTATATTATCATAGAGTCAAACAGGCTGAGAACCACTCAATCTCATTCTATTTAGTCAATAACATAATCTATAAATAAAAAAAAATACTCAAATACAAAAACTCACCTGATAAAAGCAACTGCAATAATATGCTGATGTAAAACATGTTTGGTACCTTTAGCAATTTTATCTAAGGAGAAAACACTTTTTTATATGCATCAGTAAGTTTCAGTCTTACTCCAAAACAGGCCTAATATATACAGTACTTAAGCTTGCATCAGTAAACGGATATCCTTGTTCCATGGTGGAAAGCTTCCCTAAATCTGTGCTTGTATTTAATTCCTTTATTCTATGCTTAAATTTGAACACAAATATATTTGTTTGGTATATTTGATATGATTTAAATCATGGCAGGCAGAGTCTAAGTCCATAATGTTTATTTAGTGAACTCTGCTGATGATTTTTAAAACTTAATCAACATCTTAAACAGGAACCTAAAAAGGAAATGACAGCCGATGTGAGATGATGTAAGAATTTATTAATTATAGAGGGTGATGGAGGTCAGTAAAAGTTATTCTCATCCTGTAAGAAGCATTGAGAGAAAGTTCCCTCTACATTCTACAACAAGTCTGTTTTGCCCACCATATTGCATATATTTTCTCTCTTTTTTTGCAATTGCAACTGAACATCTAAAAAAATATGACTGTATTAATTAGTGTGATACCTACTTCAGGGTGTAGTGTGAATGTTCTTGTGAACTTTTTTGACAGCACATCTTGACTCATCAGTATCCTTACAGTTTTTGTAGTATTGTTAGTCTATAGCGCCCCCTGCTGTCAAGGCAAAACAAGCTTTATTCAATTCTAAATTCCCATAGGCTAATTCCCTAATTATTACTTATAATAAAAAATGTAATTTCAGTCAAAACATTTCTTTTGCCAAGAGGCGGACGAATCTGTCTCATCTATTTCATAAATTCTATTTTATTTATTCTACTAATTGTAAAGTAGGCCAGATTTACGTTTGCTATAACATCAAAAATCTCATTTAATAAAAAAACCTATGCCCTCAGTGATAGAGCAGAATGACAGACCAGTTTTCATTTTATATAGATCACACTTACAATGTGTAATTTATAGCTGATTAAATATTTTATAACGATTGTTTTTAAATCATTATTAAAAATGTCTACGACCTTTTAAGATGTTATGAATTTTTTATTCGTTTTCTATGTTTTCTATGTTCTATGTTTCCAAGTTTTCTATGACTTTGGAAATCCTGTTATTAGTAATATATGCCTAAATAATATAATAATCAATGATACAATTGGTGTTCATTAGTATTAGTTAGTATGGGTAATAACTGTAATAATTATACTTAGTCGTATGGTCTAAATAATACTAATAATTCTCCTGTAGCACAGCGACTAATGCAAATCGATCAGTAGTGATTTGGAGGGGTTTCTTTTTATTTATTTTTTATTTTTTACGAAGAGATACAAGAGACCAAACATGAGTTGGGAATATAAAAAGAATGGAGGGAATAGTTTTGGTTGGAAGTATGAACAGTGGGTCAAGGATTGTGGTCTGGAGAATGAAGAAATCTGTCCAACATGCCATTAAATGGGGTATCGGTATGGAATATTCCTGAACCCAGTGTTGAAATGAGATTGTTGGAGGCCTGGGAAAAAGCTGTAGAAAGATATACTAATAGTTATGAAATCAATGTTTTTATGTGAGAAAATTTTTATTATTTTATACAGATCTATACAGATGGGTCTAAAGACCCAATCAAACAAAAAGTGGGCATTTAATACGAAAATAAGGTTAAAGGGGTTCGTGAAACTTGCTAATTAGCACATTATTAGGAAAGGTGATTTGCTTTTGAGTGTGTACTGAAAAAAATTCACACACACGAGTCTCTTCCCGCCCGCACCCGCACTTGCCCATCAAGAGTTGTCCCACGCCACACCCTGTTACGTTGGGTCCTGCGGTCCTCCAGCGTGAGTGCAGGTCTCTAGGGGCATTCCCTTCAAAAACAAACATAATCCACTGCGTCTTCAGCAGCTCAGATGTCGGGAGTAAATGAGACTGCTGTTCATTATTACATCCAACAACAGATCACCTCAATCGCTTAGGAGTCATTCTTGTCTACATCTGCTCCAGCGGTGAAACAAGGAGCAAGGAAAAGTGCACTGTTACATGTATATCAAGCCTTAATACGGTCTAGTATAGACTATGGGTGTGCAGTGTATGGTGCTGCGGCAAAATCAGAATTAAAGAAACTGGACAACATCCAGTCCAGAGCACTTAGAATCTGCTGTGGAGCAATAAGATCAACTCCTCTAGATGCCATCAGGGTCGAAATGGGGGAGATGCCATTAGATTTAAGAAGAGAAAAGCTTGCAATGATGTATTGGGTTAATCTACAGGGTAGTAATAAGAGTCATCGTACACGCACAATTTTAAATGATTGTTGGGAATATAAAAAGAATGGAGGGAATAGTTTTGGTTGGAAGTATGAACAGTGGGTCAAGGATTGTGGTCTGGAGAATGAAGAAATCTGTCCCAACATGCCATTAAATGGGGTATCGGTATGGAATATTCCTGAACCCATTGTTGAAATGAGATTGTTGGAGGCCCGGGAAAAAGCAGAAGAAAGATATACTAATAGTTATGAAATCAATGTTTTTATGAGAGAAAATTTTTATTCTTTTATACAGATCTATACAGATGGATCTAAAGACCCAATCAAACAAAAAGTGGGCATAGGAGTGTACATTCCAAGATTTAAGACGAAAATAAGTTTAAGGTTAAGTGACAAATTGTCCGTATAATCTAATTAACTGCTATAATAGTAGGATTGCAGTGGGTAGAACAGATTAAGCCAAATAGGACTCCGACTGTAATTTGCTCAGATTCTTCATCAGCTCTTAAAAGTATATTGTCGACAAAAACTGATAGAGAAGACCTGCTAGTAGAAATTTATACATTACTGTACAGACTGAAAATAGAGAGTATAATCGTATACTTTTGTTGGGTACCGGCACATATCGGGATACTAGGAAATGAAACAGCGGATAAGTTAGCAAAAGAAGCTTTAAAGGGGTCATATGATGCTGCTAAAAGAAGACACCGAAAGGAAGAAGTAATGATTTCTAGATTAAGGATGGGTCACACAGGACTAAATTCAACACTTGCATTAATGGGGAAGCATGAAAATGGTATGTGTGATGAATGTGATGTTTTTGAAACAGTAAAGCATGTGCTCTTTACATGTCGTAAATATGAAGATCCGCGTAACAGTCTTTTTAGCAATATAAGGAACAGACGAGTGAGTGTCGTGGACCTTCTGGGAAAGGGTTTGAGTGATAGTCAGATGTTTAAGGTGGTTTTAACATTTGTAGAGTTTACAGGATTAGACCGCAGGATTTAATGTTTGAGGATGAGGATCATGATGCTTCTGCCCATCTCGGAGGTTGAGGAGCACAGTGTGGAAGCTGGAGGAGCTGAACACGCAGCACCAGCTGAAGCTTGGGCTCTGATCCTCTGGGGTGGGTGGGGCATTACATTACAATTATTATTATTTTTTCCCTTCAGTACAGATTCATCACCCATGTGCGCAAGATATACAGTAGGTGGCGGTAACACTCCTAAGGAGTGAACGGCCATTGAACAAGAAGAAGAAGAAGAAGACCTAACATGATCTCACTTTCCTGCGCCTTCACTGAAGAAGGACCAAAGGACTCGTGTGACGTATTTCATCCGCGCCAGGAGGAGCGGTAACGTCGAGGAAAAGAAATAGTCCAGTTCTGTTCATCTGTCTTTTTATTTTATTCCCGCATATTTGCTTGAATTTTTTCATCAGGACAGATTTCACGGCGAGTATGTATTTAGTTAAAGCTAGCTTACTGTAGCGGGGCTGTAGATAATGTTTAATTCAGTCCGGATTCCGGGGCTTTAAAACAACAGAATCATGTGGCATCTGAACATTATTTCTCGATCATTTACTAATAAGTAATCGATTCAAACAGTGTTTATTTCTTTAATCTAGACGGTTAAGCACGGTTTACCACAGACGGAATCTCTTTGTTTTATTTATGCTTCTTGATTTCTGTTCTTATTTATTTTCTGTACTGTAGATACATTGGTTGTCTCTCAAAACGTAGTGAACTGAATTTCAAGGGCGTGCAGCATGTTTGGAGTGCATGGGTTTGCTTTTTTGCATTTCTGGCCATAAAGGTGCAGATGAAACAGGCTTGTCATTCCCAAAATGCTAGACAAGCAGCTTGCTGCGATTTGATTTGAGGCACAGCCATTGATTTATCTATTGAGGTTTGTTTGTTTATATATTTATTGACATATTTATGTATTGCAGATAACACTTAATATGGCGTTAAAATCTGGAGAGGAGCGCCTGAAGGAGATGGAGGCTGAGATGGCACTGTGAGTTCTTCACATTTGATTTCTCTCATGTTCAGTTCCAGCTGTTTATTTGCAGCATATTGTTGCTCTCAGGGCAGTGTTGTAGTGTTTGGAGTGTGTAGAATAGGACGTTTCTGACAGTATGCATGCTTCTCTTGTAGGTTTGAGCAGGAGGTGTTAGGAGGACCTGTGGCACCTACAGTGGTTGAAGCTGTGCCAGTCGCTCTGGCTATGCCAGCCGTACCCATCGTCAGGCCCATCATTGGTACAAACACCTACAGAGAGGTATTAAATTATTTATCTAATTATTTCTCAATTATAACTCAAAAAGTATCCCTAATATTTTACATTGTATATTTTTATAAGCTGAGATCCAAAAATGTAAGACTATTAGTGAAAATGCTTTTTTTTTTAGCATTTTTTTATTTATTTACAAATTATTCAAATGTACTTGTTTATTTTTAATGACACATTTTTACATTTCATTGTTCATTTTATTAAATATATGTTGCTTGAAGCATTCATCAGTTCTTTGTTTCACAAGCTTGTTTTTTTCTTGTAGGTCCAGCAGAGTTTGGAGGCAAGAGCTGTCACTTTTGTTGGTCCTCCACCTACATTTGTTGGTCCTGGTACATCTATATAAATCCACATTTTCTCATTACACACTTTAAGACAAAGTTATATATAGAAATGAGCTGACAATCATCTGTTATTTATCTGTAGCTATGCCGGCATTCGCGCC